AAATGCATTTTTTAATGAAGTTTTAAAAACAAAAACATGAATATCTAAACCATTCTTGTTTAAAGAACAGTCTTGTTTAAAGTACAGTCCTGTTTAAAGTACAGTCCTGTTTAAAGTACAGTCCTGTTTAAAAGTTAAAAAATTCAGATTTATAACCTGCAATGAAAGGATCAAAGTAAGCCCCGTATAGAGGTGGAATCCCAAATCCCGGTCTGTATCTGAAAAATCACTATTAATTTATTTTTTATCCAATTTTTTAAGTCACAGAAAGTTTATTTTGTTCCAGATTTTTTAAACCATAAAACCTTTGGTATTATTTGTAAGAACGTGTACATCTTTATAAGTTTTTGCCACAAAATTTTCTCATCCCTATATCTATGCAACCTAATGGTTTAAACCTTCAAGCCAAACTTAGACTATTAAATCTAACAAAATTTATAGTTTGAAATATCAAAGGTCTACAGCATCGGGTTGCAGAGATAAAGAGAAGAGAAAATCAGAGCTTGTTTTAAGAACTCAATTCTTTTTAATTATTCTTTCTTTTGAAGTTTGTTGTGTTGTCGTGTACCGAGGGTGAGTAGTAGTTGTAGCTGTTGTTGTTGTGGTTGATGTTGTTGTGGTTGGTGTTGTTGGTGGATTAATCAGCGGTTGAAGAAGTTCAAGAAGAAGTGGAATTAAAAACAAAATGTCCACCAATTCAGTTCCTGAAATTATTATTTACAACAAAAAATTCTGAATAAAAATCTAAAATCAAAATTTACTTAATGCTTAGAAATGACATTTTTTAATGAGTTCATAGCTGACTGATATATGATTTTGTGTCTACATTTATTCCAAACTCAAGTACCTGGTCCCTGACTGTTTGTTGTTGACAACCCTGCGGTAGAGAAAATAAAATCTGTAGTTACAACAAAAGTAGGTTCTGTAGCGGTTGTGGTTGTTATAAATGATGCTGAAGTGGTGGTTAAAACAACAGGGGTCGTTACAGCTCCACTAAATAAATCGTTTAAAGGAAGTGTAGATGCTATTTTAAGTGGCCCTCTAGTTAAAAATGTCCAATTCACAATGGTACCTCAAAAATATGATTATATCCCTGAATTTTAATATGAAAGTTGGTCATTTTGAATCGTGGTTTTAAAATAAACTTGACTTGCGAATTATGAAGCAGAATCAAAAAAGGCCATCACAGAATTCGCCACTATGCAAGATAGAGAAACGACGAGTTATCTTCCTCATTGTTGCACAGATAAAGGGGTAAAGTGATCGCATGCAACTCTCTCATTGGGAGGTTTACTTTAAATTACGTATTTAAGGTGTTTTACAACGTTAGCAATAAATGCTCTAATCTCAACTTAACAATGAAGTTATTATATAACTGAGCTACTTGTAAAACTCATCTACCTTTAAAGCACCAAAGCGTAAAAAGAACAAATGTGAAACTTTGTTTCTGAGCAAAACTCTTTAGAACAAAAAATACTGGTTTTCGGAATAAAGGAATTTTTATTTTCTAATCTACATTCCAAACTATAAATAGAAATTGCGTGGCGGTAACATCTATCTTTCTATCTATCTCATTATCCAATTAGAGATAAATCCTTAAATCGGCACTGAATGGAAATATTTACTTCTACTGAAACATTAGTGCACCATCATTATAACATCGTAGTTTGTAGCGAAAATTCAATTCCTTTGTGCAGGATCTATAATATTTAAGAAAATAGGCTCTAGATATAAAAATGTGTTACAAATAAATACCTGGTTGGAGCCCCAGTGGTTGATTCAATGCCTGAAAATATTATAAAAATTCTCTTTTTGTTTTACAAAAACATGCATGGTCAATTTTGATAAGTTATTGTTACAATATAACACGGTGTGGTGGGTCGGCTCATGGGTTTAACAAAGTATAATTTCTTCGTTCGTTCAGCAAATCAGATTAGATTTTTTTCTCGTTTTTGTTACCTGTGGTTTCAGTTTGGGCATGTACATCATGTACAGTTAGGAGGATGATTAGAACTGTACAGTACAGCATATATCTAAATACGACTGTACACAGTACAGTTAAGAAGAAAAATATAACTGTACAATACTGCATATATATAAATACAAACTGTACAGGAGGGCTAAATAGAATTATGCAGTTCTGCATATACCTAAATACACACTGTACAGTAGTACTGTACTACATATGTCTAAATACCATCTGTACAGGAGAGATAAATAGAACTGTACTGTACTGCATATATCTAAATACATCCTGTACAGTTAGAAGGATAATTAGAACTATACTGTACTGCATATATCTAAATACAAACTGTAAAGTTGAAGGATAATTAAAATTATAGTATACTGAATATACAAACTGTACAGTTATATGGATAATTAAAACTGTACTGTACTGCATATATCTAAATACAAACTGTTCACAGTACAGTTAAGAAGAAAAGTATAACTGCACTATACTGCTTACATCTAAATATAAACTGCACAGGAGGGATAAATAGAATTATGCAATACTGCATATACCTAAATACAAAATGTACAGTTAAAAGGATAAATAAAGCTGTACGGTACTACATATTGTAAGCATAGAGAGAGGCTTGCTTGTAAATAAACTGTAGTCAATGGATAGCAGTGGGACGAATGGTAAGGCTCCTTGTGTATAACTGATGAACCACGGCTTGAACTACGAGGGAGGAGGAAATAGGATCGGCCTGGGCTAAAACCGAAATAGAGTTAGTAATCACAAAGAATCGAAAGGAGGAAGATTAACCTGTTGAATGAGGCGGAAGAAAGGCGGAGAGTCTGCCAGAGAGCTTCCGCTTTCTTCAATTCATTAGTATCAACCATCATTTGTTCTTTTTTTTATGTTGTAAACATATTTTTTCCTATACTCTAGACTTTCTCACATCAGTTTCAAGCTTTACATTTCCTTTATTTTCGACCACTCTTAAATGGTAACAATATATCTAAATACAAACTGTACAGGAGGAATAAATATAATTGTACTGTAATGCATATATCTAAAAACAAACTGTACAGGAGGAATAAATATAACTGTACTGTAATGCATATATCTAAAAACAAACTGTACTAGAGGGATAATTAGAACTGTACTGTAATGCATATATCTAAAAACAAACTGTACTAGAGGGATAATTAGAACTGTACTGTAATGCATATATCAAAACACAAAATGTAGAATTTTTGAGATGCAGTAACGGTAGTACTGCGAATCATTGATGGCACTCTTGTATTTTATTGAAAGGTCACTTTACTACAAATATTTTTATTCTAATGTGTGTATTATATCTATACCTAATATAATTCATAATAGAACATATCCTGTAATATGACATTGGAGACTGGAAATCCACTATTCTGTAATAATTAAACAGGAACAGTTTTCAGAGTGACCTTCTATAATCATCTATCTACAGATCTATTTGATAATTCTACCTATCTATTTGATAATCTATCTATCTATTTGATAATCTATCTATCTATTTGATGATCTACCTATCTATTTGATAATCTATCTATCTATCTATCTATCCATCTATCCATCTATATATCTATCTATCTATCTATCTATCTATCTATCTATCTATCTATCTATCTATCTATCTATCTATCTATCTATCAATATATCTAACTATCTAATTACATATCTATTAATCGATTTTTTTTTATTTCATCTGATCATATATCCAATTCTTCAGTCATTATAGTCCTGTTTAAAATGTTAAAAAACGAGCCCAGTTCTTAACTCTTATTATTGTTTACAATGTTAATATGTAGTTCCTATAAGCTGTCCTTACACGTGACACTACAAAATAAAAACTTACACTCTCACTAAAAACTCGAGTTCAATCGAAGTTCCGGGGCCGACTTTTTGGCAGCACGATCAGATTGTACAATGTACATGTACAGTACACTTACAGATTATGGACGGCAAAACAGGACGGTACACCAAACGACACATCCCTTTCTAGGGAAATGAATGCACTATCGACAAAAATACTGATGACTTTGTTTTTGAAAGTTTTTTTTATACATAAATTAGATCTCATTGCCCCAAAAATGAAATAAAATAAAAGTACTCACAAATTAATTCTCAAACTTCTACAATTTCAATAGAATCATAATTGTTTGATTTACAAACCGGAAACAAATAAAAAAACAACGAAGGTTAATATCTACATATAAATTATTGATAATTAAACTAAAATTTTTACGGATTAAAATTTAATGCATAATAATCCCGATATTCTAAAAATTTTATTTTACGTAATAAATTATAATTTTGTTTTCAAAATCTGCAGAATTCTTAGTACATTTTTGAAGCTGTAATCTGCGTTTTTTATTGCAAAATTTAAAAAGAGTTTATAATAATACAGGTATAACCACAAAGAATGATACTTCATAGACAAATGTACAAAATTCATCTAGTCTAGTATTTATATTAAAGGGACCGTAGACGTATTAATATTAAAGGGACCGTAGACGTATTTATAGTAAAGGGACCGTAGACGTATTAAGATTAAAGGGACCGTAAACTTATTTATATTAAAGGGACCGTAGAAGTATTTATATTAAAGGGACCGAAGACGTATTTATATTAAAGGGACCGTGGACATATTTATATTAAAGGGACCGTAGACGTATTTATATTAAGGGGACTGTAGACATATTATATTAAAGGGACCGTAGACGTATTTTGAAATCCTTTGTTTGTGCTGAAATAACGAATATTTCTGAAAATTGATGATTGGAAGATCATTTAAAGATTATATGTATTTTTTAAATAGAAAAATTGCGATAATATAATCATCATTACTTAGAGGAAGGTCTGTTACAGCTTTAAATTGTACATCTGTAGCTCTTTAAATGCAAGCAGCAAAGGTATTTTCAAATACGTTGACAGTCCCTTTAGTGCACTGAATTAATTAATTGATTTAGATTTAGAATTCCTTAAAATCCGCAAACCTCTCTCATTTCAGGTGAAAAGTCTTGAAACACAAAACCGGTTCCTTGTTCACCAGATATCACAGGTATTAAAACCGGGTTTTTTTATATTGCAAAAATTATCAAAACAATAATTGCCTCATTTTCTAAAATATAAACAAGTTCTTTTTTAGTTCAAATCTTCAGTGGGACAAATACAAAATGATATTAGAACTTTGTCCTCAAACCAGCCATCACCAACCTCGCAACCTTCACCATCTAGCTCTCGTCCTACAATTCCTAGTTCCCAACCTCCTTCAACTAGCTCTCGACCTCCAGTTGATAGCTCCCAGCCTCCACAAACAAATCCAAAACCTCCATCGTCTAGCTCGGATCAAAATGAAAATTTTAAAACTAGGAAAATATTTTTTAACTAATTTTTAAACAAAAAATTATGTTTATAAAAATTATTACAGCATAATTAGATTCAGGGTTTAATCCCTCTTGTAATAAATCTTTATTTCTGGATTCTGTTGATAAATAGTTTTTTTGTACCAAGGTAAAATAAAAAAAATTAAAAAACAACAAAATATTGATGATTTTTTCTTCTGCAAAACTGAGATTTATTCCTAACGGAGTGTCAACGAAAATTAAAGTTACAATCCCTTTAGTACAAGTATAGAAAAGGAAAATGGCTACCTGAACCTTTCATCAGTTAGCGAAAATCAAAATTAAAGGAACATTACATATTATCCTGCTGAAAATAGAGATACGATGCTCGCGGATGCAGCCTTTCTCTATAAAAGCCAAGACGAGCTAAGCAATTTATGCGGCCATCTTTTCTAGGGTATTGGGACATTTCATAGACAGGACCTTTCATAAATAGGACATTCCATCATAGTCAAGACATTTCTTAGATAGGACATTCCATAGACAGAACATTCCATAGACGGACATTTCATAGATAGGACATTTTATAGACAGGACATTTCATAGATAGGACATTCCATCATAGTCAAGACAATTCTTAGATAGGACATTCCATAGACAGAACTTTCCTTAGACGGACATTCCATAGACAGGACATTCCATAGATAGGAAATTCCATGGACAGGACATTTTTCATAGAACGAACATTTCATAGATAAGAGTAGAAGATTTATAGAAAATATTTCATATTTATCTATATAAATACTTCGATTGTCTGTTTGTTTGTATCCAATAAACGCAAAAATGGTCGAACCGATCGGGCCCATATTTTTTTATGGGAACTCACATAACCCCAGGAAAGGTTTATGAATGATCGAATTATAAAGAATTTGCCTCAAACAAAATCTGAATTTTAAAAATTTGGAAATCCACGAAATTGCAAAATTTTTGTTTGTTTTTGTTTTACAATGGATACAAAGAGAAAATGTTCACAATTGAAATAGAAGACGGGCGCGAAGCGTCCTAAAAGCCTGGTACTTCTTAAAAATGGAAGTGTTGCCTATCTATGAAAATTTCACTCTGTCTAGCTATGAAATGTCCCAACACCTTTTCTACGCTATTATTTATCAGATTCTGATCTAAATTTGTTTTAACAATTGGGTCAGTGATAAAAAATAAGTATTTATAATTTCAAAAAATATTTATCATTTAGATTGTTCAACTTAGAAAACCAATTGGAATCTTCAAATTCTCTATTTTGGAGAAATATTTTGGAATTTAGTAAGTTTATTATTATTATTTTCATAACTATTATTATTATTATTCTAAATTAGTATTAGAATGTTGTTCTTATTACTATGAAATTAATAATGTCTTTATTATTATTATCATTCATATGATAAACATTATTATTATAATGCATTATGATTTCTTTCTATATATCTATCTATCTATCTATATATCTATCTATCTATCTATCTATCTATCTATCTATCTATCTATCTATCTATCTATCTATCTATCTATCTATCTATCTATATATAAATCTGATGACTAGGATGTCCGACTGCTAGGACCGGAAGTGGATTACCTAGCGTAGTTTGTGATTTAAAAACTAGGAACTTAAATATTTCTAGAAATCATTGAAGTGATAATAGGAAAATGTTGATCTTACCAAGCTATTGATGCAAAAAGATATTTTGTCAGGGGGCCAAGGGCAAAAATTGTAATAGTTTTATAAAATTTATCTTTAAGTCTACGATATAAAGGAAGTTTTGTGAATAGCAAGCTTGAAATAAAAGCAATAGAGTGAACCATCGATATTTTAACTTTTGATTTTAACATTTACAAGATTTTTTTGTTTATCGTTTAAATTTTTCACTGATTTCATTTTTGGTTAAATTATATCTTTTAAAATTAAAAAGTATGTTTTTTCATAAGATTCTTTTAGACGATAGAAAAACAGTTTTAAAATTCTGACGTGCAACCAAGCACGTTTGCTTTTCTCCCTTTTAGTGTAAAAAGGTGGTATGAGGTAGCAAACTCATCCAACTAACGTCTTCTTTATGTTGAGATTACATAATACAACAGTAAATATTCTGATTTAAGATTGGAAAAAGCAGAGAAGAAATTAGAAAATGATAAGAATCTACCTGAGAAAGGTACATTTGCTCTAGTTATAAGCTATATGATCTTTAAGATTCATGCTCAACTGGGTTCATTTAGTTTTAATCAGTATGAAATGGCTGAATTTTCATAAATGATATAAAAGGTTGACATTTTTTTAGGGCAAAATTGTAAAACTTTGATGGTCCATCAGAGTTGGCACATAATATTTGGAACCGATTGGTTTAGCTCTTTTAACGGGCTAAACAGACAAGCAAATATCATGTATGTTTGTCTAGATGTAGGGGAACGAGTAGCTAAACAGACAAGCAAATATCATGTATGTTTGTCTAGATGTAGGGGAACGAGTAGCTAAACAGACAAGCAAATATCATGTATGTTTGTCTAGATGTAGGGGAACGAGTAGCTACATCTGCTGATGGGATTGATGCCAATACAATTGATGTTCTACAAAATGGTAAAAAAAAAGATGAATTCAGATCTAAAAGATGTTAAGAAGAAAAACAACCTTATAACTTTTAATGGAATTGAATTAAATCAAAACAGTGTAAAAGTTACATGTTTAACCGTTGCTATGAAAGTTTTTGGCTTCTATGCTGATTTTAATTACAGTGGGCACCAGAAAATTACAGTGGGAACCAGAAAATTACAGTTAGGACCAGAAAATTACAGTGGGAACCAGAAAATTACAGTGGGAACCAGAAAATTACATTGGGAACCAGAAAATTACAGTGGGAACCAGAAAATTACAGTTGGAACCATAAAATTACAGTGGGAACCATAAAATTACAGTGCGAACCAGAAAACTGAAGAATGATTGTCGTCCTCGATCCTTCTTATTAATGAAAAGCTTTGTTTAGGATTTGAAAATAATTGATATATTTCTGAAAGTATTCAGGGTACATATTAAAACAAAATTTAAGACCAACAAATTTTGATTTTCTTAAAGAAATCATTCACATTACTTTTTCTGGATACCTTTGTAGTTCTGATGAAATAGGAATCAGATCATTATGAATTTATTTCTAGCTGTTCATAAAAAGTCTTTTAAATCAAAAGATCCTTAGATTTAGGTGGGCCTAAAGTCATTAAATCGTATACACGAATATTGAATTAAAAAATTAAATCTCTACCATTCTCAAGGCAATTTGTGATAAAATAAAAAAGGGTTTATTTCCTTTTTTAATTTCTTAAAACTTTCAGGAGCAGCAGATGCATTCTGTGCCAATACTCCTGCATTTTCTACAAGGAAAATCAATCAATCAATTGAACATTTTATAAGTGGACACGTTTGGGGGGGAAACTTGTGGGAAATTACTACCATCACAAATCTATATAAATTGGCTGTTGGCAATTCAAAAATGAAAAGAAATCATTTTAAAAGATTAATTTTTGAATGAATTGATTCAGAAAATCTCGAATTATGTACCGGGAAACTATGTTTGAGAAAGGGAAGATGTTTTCTTTAGAGCAGGGAGATTTCCAGGTAAATTATAGAGTAGGGAGATTTCCAGGTAAATTATAGAGCAGGGAGATTTCCAGGTAAATTATAGAGCAGGCCAAGACGAGCTAAGCAATTTATGCGGCCATCTTTTCTAGGGTATTGGGACATTTCATAGACAGGACCTTTCATAAATAGGACATTCCATCATAGTCAAGACATTTCTTAGATAGGACATTCCATAGACAGAACATTCCATAGACGGACATTTCATAGATAGGACATTTTNAGGGAGATTTCCAAGTAAATTATAGAGCAGGGAGATTTCCAGGTAAATTATAGAACAGGGAGATTTCCAGGTAAATTATAGAACAGGGAGATTTCAAGGTAAATTATAGAGTAGGGAGATTTCCAGGTAAATCATAGAGCAGGGAGATTTCCAGGTAAATCATAGAGCAGGGAGGTTTCCAGGTAAATTATAGAGCACAGAGATTTCCAAGTAAATTATAGAACAGGGAGGTTTCCAGGTAAATTATAGAGCAGAGAGATTTCCAGATAAATTATAGAGCATTTTTGTTTTTCAGAAACAGAACATTTATAAAATTTTTACATTTTAATGTTTTTTAATCATTAAATGCATGTGTTAGGTGCCTAAGTCTGGATTTTACAATTTTCAAGTTTTCTACGAAACAGATTTATGTGGAAGCTTAAGCTTATGCGGACCAACAACAGTTTTACTTAGGTAAAGATTCTCAAGAAAAAATATCAAATTATTTTTTCCTTTTGATTCTGGTTTGAGTTATTTTATTTATCGTCTATTTCATTGATTAGACAATTCACAGCATTTCGCTGCGACAATTGAAAAAAGTTACTCACGAATATTTCGACGCCATAGACAAGAAACAATTTGTAAAATTCCAAAAAGAAAAGAATTAAATTCATTAGAAAGCTGGTTTTTCGTTTTCTAGATAATCGTCATTAGATTATCACTTCAAAATACAGTGAGACTCATGAAACTGTGGAATGGGAAGACGACATTAAAGCAATCTTATGTGTATTTGATGTTGTTATAAAACAATCAGGTTTACTAGTTGTTTGAAAACTAATTTGTTAAGTTAAGTAAAATAGGTCTGTGTGTCCTGTACTATTGCTGTGTTTCATGTTCATTGAACTATTTAAAATCGAAATTCAAGCCTAACAGTCGTAATCATATTACATGGTTTTATTGGTCTTACTGTACGTTGACAGTTCTTTATAATATAAGCAAGGATAAAAAACCTATTTAGAAAAAATGGCAAAGTAGAGAAAAGAATGTCCCGAAGCTTGGGTTCAGATTCAAGACAAGATTTAGATTTTGTTGCGGCATCCTTCCTTCTAGACTGTTCCAGGTTAATATTATAGATTTTGTTGCAATATCCTTTCTTCTAGACTGTTCCAGGTCAATATTATAGATTTTGTTGCAATATCCTTTCTTCTAGACTGTTCCAGGTCAATATTATAGATTTTGTAACGGCATCGTTCCTTCTAGACTGTTCCAGGTCAATATTATAGATTTTGTTGCAAAATCCTTTCTTCTAGACTGTTCCAGGTCAATATTATAGATTTTGTTGCAATATCCTTTCTTCTAAACTGTTCCAGGTCAATATTATAGATTTTGTAACGGCATCGTTCCTTCTAGACTGTTCCAGGTCAATATTATAGATTTTGTAACAGCATTGTTCCTTCTTGACTGTTCCAGGTCAATATTATAGATTTTGTTGCAATATCCTTTCTTCTAGACTGTTCCAGGTCAATATTGTAGGTTTTGTTGCAACATCCTTCCTTTCAGACTGTTCCAAGTTAATATTGTAGATTTTGTTGCAACATCCTTCCTTTCAGACTGTTCCAGTCAATATTATAGATTTTGTGGCAACATCCTTCCTTTCAGACTGTTCCAGTCAATATTATAGATTTTGTGGCAACATCCTTCCTTTCAGACTGTTCCAAGTCAATATTATAGATTTTGTTGCAACATCCTTCCTTTCAGACTGTTCCAGTCAATATTATAGATTTTGTGGCAACATCCTTCCTTTCAGACTGTTCCAGTCAATATTATAGATTTTGTGGCAACATCCTTCCTTTCAGACTGTTCCAAATTAATATTGTAGATTTTGTTGCAACATCCTTCCTTTCAGACTGTTCCAAGTCAATATTGTAGATTATGTTTACTGGGTCACTATGACAAAGAATATAATCAAAATGTGTGCATCAGTATTGTCTTTTGTAAGCATTAATATAAATCAATAAGTTGAGGATGCATGCGCAAACAACATAAAGGTGCATAGTGTTATATCTATGAATAATTGTATCTAAAAACCTTTAAGTAAATAGGTTTTTGCCATCAGTTTCTTTCAGGGTCAAAATTTGGACAAACTGTGAACATTTGCTTTTCTTACACTTGCCAAATTTTGACTCGGATAAAAAATGTATGCCAAAAACAAACCGGAAATGATTCATGAACGAACGTGTTATAAAGTACGCAAAATTTACCAGAATAAAGGATTGAGATCATGGAATTTCAAAACTTCAAACTTGAACAAGATTTTCCTTGAGCTGTTAAAAGGCTCTAAACTACACTATTCGATCAGTGGCCGAATTTAAAGGATTTGAGCGGCGGTTTCAATTTAAGCCGCGGCTTAAATATGGTTGGACTTGGTTCCACTTAAAATTGTATCAAATGTTTTAAGATTTAAGTCGGCGCTTAATTTAAACTGGGTTTTGGCAGATTTAAACCGCGGTTCAAATTCTTTAAATTCCATCTCAGAATTATTAAATAGATATCAAAAATGTTCAAAATCGTCAATTTTGGTCTAAAATTGAGGCTCTAGCTACCACTGCTGGTTTTTCTGGGACAAGCTGTGTGATATCATTAAATTTGATTATATCGACAAATCCTGACTCAAAAGACCGGTGTCTATATAAACCAGGCCCATAGCTAGGGGGCATATCCTGTCTTATAAATGATAGGGTTTTTAATCATTTCTTTGTATTTGAGAAACTTTACCCTTCTTCTATCAGATTAATAATTTTAATAGACTATTTTAAAGCAAAAAGTAACAATTTTATGGGGACAAATTTAAATTATACATAAAATATAATATATAAATATAGCCAGGTTTAGGAAAAGCTGTCAATTTTTTTGGTCAACATTTGAAAAATTCCTAGCTACGAGCCTGAAATAAACAAATTGTATGAATTAATTATTTTGACTTTAATAATAATATTTCAGGAATGACAGGATGGACCTGTATCTGGAGGATTATTTTGGCGAGGGTCTAAAAAATGTCATGTTTTGTGGATATTATGTTGGATCATAACCACATTACATGCAAATTATGCGTTATGAATATACTTAGTTTTTTAGTGTCGTTAGGCCTTGACTTTTGGTTTTACTTCATATTTACATTTTAAGGCTTCAAAAACTTCTGTGCATTTTCGGTCAATAGATTTTCGCATAAGCTAGCGTGTACTGTGAATTTTTTATCTCTACTTTTATGTTAATAAATTCATTTAGACATTTCTTTTTTTTAACTGACGTATTTTAGATTATCATAATAATTGTTATTATTATTATCATTATTATTATGATTATTATTATAATTATTATCATTATTGTTATTGTAATTATAATTATTATTATTATTATTATTATTATTATTATTATTATCATTATTTTTGTTTAGTCTATGGCTGGATGTTCTTGTATCCTCTCCAAAACATGATGAGAAAACTCCGATCCACACTACAGTTATCAGATCTGGGTGTTCAGGAGTAGTTTCAAACCCTACTAGTCCTACTACAGTTCAAATACATTTTATACTTATTTATTTACTTCAGTTAACAGAATACAAATAACTTATAATAAAGCTCTTCGCTCAAATATAAATAATAGTATATTACTAGCCAAACGGCTGGACCAAATTTACATAGGCTACAAAAAATATAATTATTTTTTCAAAAATTATTTTATTTTTCTTAAATGATTTTTTTTTCAAAAATAATTTAATTTTAATTCAAGTGCTTCTAAAATTTACTGGGCAACGCCGCACTTCAGCTAGTAAATTATGATTTCTGGATTTTGTATCAAATTTATCTTTTACTGTATCGCGGTGAACATGTAGTAAATGCCCTACTCCAACAAATACTTTTAGATCAGTATCAATCCAGGTATAACTTTCTTTTTTTTTAAATGCAGAATTTTGATAATTCTAACTTTTCAATATTTTTCACCATCAAAAACTTAAACCAAGCTTCCAAAATTCATTCTTTAAACCAAACACTTGAATCAAAAATTTATTATTAATCCTGTAATTGTTTTAAAGTTTATCACTGATGAGAGTTCAATATTAGTTTACTAACCTTCTTGCGGATTTTGGATTTGGCGTTTTTTCTTTAGCCAGAGGCCGAATTTAAAGAATTTGAGCCGCAGCTTAAGATTAAGCCGCAGCTCAAATATGGTTGGTTCCACTTATAATTGTATTTAACTTTTCAAGATTTAAGCCGGCGCTCAATTGAAACCGGTTTTTGGAGGATTTGAGACGCGGCTTAAATTCATTAAATTCGGACACAGGCGTTACAGTCTCAGGACAATATAAACCAGTCAAATCTTCTTAATGAGATTGTAAAGAAGCAGGAAAGTATATCCAAGACAGATTTTTGCAGACAAGATATTTGTTCCGCAGATAACTGAAACTTTTATTTAAGCTCTGCAATTGTGCTCTCCAATTCAGAAATCCTGGGGTCCAGGATTTTACATCTTTCATTTAATTCTGGTACAGTGATAAGCAGAAAACTCTGGAACAGTAAAACGACTTTGAGAATCAAGTTTTCATATTAAAAAGTTTAATAACCATGAACCACAGCAATTGTGCAGTGTAAACAGACCCATTTCACAAAATAACTGATTTTATAAGTGCCTGATAAAACTATTTGCTTAGAAAAGCCATCAAATACACTTCAGTATTGCTATAATGTCGTCTTCCTATTCCATTGTTTTCTGGTTATCACTGTACTTAACAACTTTCTCAGTCGCATCTTCAAGACTGAACATAGATCATAAACTTTAGTTATTATCGAGACCGCTTCTTATGAATAACTTCAATTTTACTCCTAAAAGGCTGATAAATCAAGATATTATTGTAGCTGGAGAAAAAGCAGAGTGCACCCCCCCCCCCGTCCCCTCCCTTCAAAAGAATAAGTCTGGGCTAGATTTATTTAGAATTTCTAAAAATGTGGTGAATACATATGTTTTTAAAGCATTAATAAGGAAAAAAGAAAAGAAAAGAGGGGCATTGCCCCCCCCACCCCAGCTGTCCCCTATATTCTAAAGAGTTAATAAGTAAGGGCTAGAAATTAAATCAAAATGGATTATAAACTTTGTTACTTTCAGGGCTTTTCAAGGCCCCCCCCCCCCCCTCCTTAAAATTTACAATTTTACCTCTTCAACCTTAAAACCAAAAGTATATTATTATTGTAAAGCTTGTAAAAGGATAAAAGGATAACTCAGTGTCGCCATTGAGGGGGGGGGCCTTGAACCCTCCCCCTTAATATATTTCCCCACTAGTTCATCCCCCCCTTATACCCTAGACTAATTGTAATCAGATTGCAGACCATTATTATCAAATTTTCCCAATTGAGAATAAAAATATAAATTTTTCTTTCAAATCTGGTTTATTTCAAACATTATAATTACCTTCTCTATCTTACACTTTAATATCAGGGGATGCATAATCATGTTCTGCCAGGATCTGTGTAGAGGTAACTGTTCTTGGCAAAAACAATGTGGGTTTAGCAGATTTCTTTAATTTCTCTTTGATTTGCTGTAAGAATGTTGGGTAAAATAACGGGAGTAGATAAAAGTTGGAATATTTTTCCAACAGCTCAAAGATTTCTTTTCTGCATAACAGTATGGATTCTCATATCAACATTGGAACCATTTGTTGTACATTTCTCCACAGTCACAGAGAAATGTCTCATGCTGATGTTCAATATTTACTGTCTACTGTTTGTTTACATACCCCGGATCTGTGTACACTGGATATATACAGATGCCGCAACCCATATTTTTCCTATGTACTGTATGTCACAACATGATCTATACCTATAGCACCGATTCCCTTCTGACCCTGATCTCTGTCCTTATTACAAAGACGACAGATTACACCCCCTCTGGTTGAAATTAAGGAGTATCGAATAGAAGTGAGATACAACTGACGTGGCCCGCCTTACCATATGATTAAACATGCTTTGCAGACGGTACTTCATTTGTATAAGAAATATTCAGAATAGGTTATTGTATACGCGGTAATTCTACATCAGAAATATATTTCTTACAAGATTTTAGCTATAGACTTTCAACTCAAGTGGAGCGTCTTAAAGGGACAGACAGACTATGTAAGGTGTAAGGTAGTTAAACTGAGTTAGCAGTGTTGTGGACAAATTCGTTAGGGTTTATTTGAGACATATAAAACGTTTAGCAACAGACTTTCAATTCAAGTGGCGCGTCTTACAGAAACTAGAGACGTAATTTCAAGTAACCTTCCATTTACGGAGCGGCATGTCCAGCTTACATTTACATAGTTAGAAAAACGGTGGTATTTTCAAATCATCAATCAGATAAAGCTGTTTAAAGGGTACCATTGGGGATCGGGCATAGCTCTCTTTAAATGGAGGATCACTTGAAATTATCACCGTGTATTTGACAAGCTTAAAAGATAGACATGGTTTGGGACACTTCATAAAATTCGGCAAGGCAAACCAATTTTGCAAGTTGAACAATAGTTTTAAATTTACTAATGATTATTTTTTTTTAATTTTTACTCAATACAAACTAACCATTCGTCGGATTTTCTTTTGAAATTATTATGGAAGAAAATGATACAAAGTCTCAATTCCTTTAAAATGCACTTTAGCAAAGTTATGACTAAAATGAGCTGAACACACGTCACAAACTCTAATTTTATAAATTAGTAAATTTACAACCAGATGGTGTTAAACTTTGAAATTTCAAAGGAACTAAAAACTTTGTCACAAGCTCAAATTATCTAATTCCTATATATTTGCAAACTGAAATTGTAATTTTTGATATTTCAAAATTAGACTATTTAATCTAACAGAGGTCATTGTTTGAAATATAGATCACAACACTGGGAAGCGATGATATGGTGATTAGAAAATACGAGTTTGTTACTAAAACTCAATTTCTTTAGACTTTCTGATCTAACACAAGCCAATGTTTGAAATATCAAAAATCTAAAACCTCAGCTTGCAAAGATTTTTTTTTAATGTTACTTACAAGGTGAGTAAAAAAGTGGCATTAGCTTCAGTTTTTAAACCACAATTAAAATGTTTTCAGGGTTCATGTTTTGGCTTAAAAATATCAAAATAAAGAAATGCCAATGCTAAATATTTTGTCAACGCAAACACCGCGAAATAAAAGTTTGTGACATTTTTCTTTTTAACAAATCGATTAATAAGAAGTTTTTCCATTCTAAAGGTTTAAAAATCTATAACAAGCATTTTCCAATTGATAAACATTTTTGAATTTTAACTAAATTAAAAAGGATTAAAATTCGGGAAGGCAAACAACTTTTGCAAGGGGAATCCATCCTTTTCAATATTCGTATCACGCCTATCATGACATTCGTATCCAAGTATCAAGATCAGAAGTGCAAGCAAGAGCAGAAACGTCTTCAAGAGCAGAAAAGTCTTCAAGATCAGAAGTGCAAGCAAGAGCAGAAACGTTATTAACTCTTTAATTTTAATTTCTAGAATTTAAGTATCATATACATTCTACATATAGAAACTTCCCGCAATTTTCTAGGGTTGTTTCCCCCCTTTCCGCCTGCCCCTTAGCTGTCTCAGAGTCATTTTACTTTTTAACAGACTTAAAACTTAAAGCAAACATAAGTTATGATTGGTTAAATGTTTTCCTTCCATTTTACTGTTTTATGAGTCCCACTGTATAAAAGTTATGAAATTAAAATTAAAGAGTTAATAACCATATACCTTCCTCGTCCTCAATTTTAATATTTATGCTAAAATGAACTCGGGAATGCATGAGAGGTTATCAGAGAATTGATTTAGAGAAAATCAAATAATTTTCAGGAAAACTTTTCTATGACATGATGTTCCAGGGCTCAAATGGTTATATAGCACAAATATGTAAAGTACACCTGCAGTATGGAAACAGTACTCTTTTTCTAATAAATTCCACTCTATTTATAATCTATTCTCTTTGTATTTTGCACTGAGCATACAATATGCTTCCAATTATTATGGCGATAAGCAAGTCCACTGTTAGAAAAAATTCAAATAACAATTTCTTTCATGACACTTTTTGATTAGAGGTCGTCTTCTTCAGCTAACTGGCACTGCAAGTTTTGACCGTTAAGTCTTTTTCTGAGATCTGTGATTTCGCAGTACACAAGCCAAATACGTCAAATGATAACGGCGATATTAGAAAAATGATGTCATGTGACCACAAAAGGCTATCATTAGGGGGTGTACCTCGTTAAA